TAAGAAAACTGATACCATATAAATGCAAAGACACAAGGGTGCAAATACATTGGTCTGGTGTAGGAACCCCTTTGTTAACTCACATCACTATTAAAGGTATAACAAAGCTCAAACCGTCATTCCAGTTATATGTCAATTAGAACCTAGGTCATGTGCATCGGTTTCAGTTATTACACATCATCACATCAAGATATTAGAGTAGTAGAAGTAGCAACAGTATGAATAGTAAAAGAAAAGATGAGCTAGAGACGATGTCGTTCAAAAAAGGAATATAGATTTGTAAAATAAAACGGTATTACCTAATTTTGAAACCGAAGTCTAAAGTGTGAATACATCCCCATCATTATGACCGATTCTAAGTCATCTATCTCTAACCATTAGTTACGATAATCGTGCCGACTCCAAACTAAATAGTTTGTATAAATCTAAGTTATTTGAAGCTAGCCCTCCTATCCCATACACAAGAACAAATGCAGATAAACACAACTAGTGTAGCAGCAGTCTCTGCATCAGTAGGCCTCACCATACACAAGGGAAAAAACAAGAACCTGAAATACAACACGGAGAACACTAACTCAATCACACTTAATGGCGAAACTCTGGAAGGTGGGGAATCCTTCACGTGCCTAGGATGCATCATCGATAATCAAGGAGGATCAGATGCAGACGAAGGGCGAAGATTGGCAAAGCAAGGGCCGAATTCCTACAATTAAAGAAAAAATGGAACTCAAAATAACTACCTATCAACAAACATCAAAGCCAAAATTTTCAATTCGAACGTCAAGATAGTTCTACTGTACGGCGCTAAAATTTAGAGAACTACTACAACCATCATCAAGAAGATGCAAGTATTTATAAACAGTTGTCTACGCAAGATACTACACATCTATTGGCTGAATTCCATCACCAATAGCCTACCGTAGGAGAGAACAAACCAGATTCCACCTGAAGAGGAAATTTAAAAAAAGATGATGGAAATGGATAGGACATACATTGCAGAAATCGCCAAACTGCATCACGAGGCAAGTCCTAACTTTGAATCCTGATGAAAAACGAAAAAGTGGAAGTCCAAAGAACACATTACGTCGAGAAATAGAAGCAGATATGAAAAAGATAAACAAGAACTGGAAAGGATTGCCCAGGACAGGCTTGAATGGAGAATGCTGGTGAGCGGCCTATGCTCGTTCACGAGGAGTAAAAGGAGTAAGTAAGTTAGCTCAAGCTATTATACAATATCATCACAATAGAATTAAAAATGATTATAACTAGTAATTATTAACCAGAAAAGCTAAGTATTGAGAATCAAGTTAAAGATTTCATAAAGAGAGATATGTTTTTGAAAGTTGAAACTGATTTTTAAATATAAGAGACAATTTCAATGGTAAAGTCACAGATAAAATTTAACTTTCATTGAAATTATACCAATATCATTTTGACAAATTGTACAACAAGAGAAATGATTATTTATCTATAGAAAATGTTCAAAATTATTAATCACTATGGTAACAAACTTACCTATTTATTGTCGTAAATTCCATTCCCCCACCCCCACCCCCGCACACACACACATACACATAAAAAAATAGAAGTCACATCACATTTATTCAAGTCAATCAACATCAGGAAAATTCTCTGATAAAACTGATATGAATTCAAATGGATCAAATCAAATACCTGCTCTACGTATAAAAAGTGCAACAAAATTGAATGTAGAATCTACTACTTATATAACTAATATTCAACAATCAATTCGTGATGCAAATCATCCTGAATTTTGGCCTTTATTATATAAGAAATTGATTCATTTACAAGCTGAACGTGCTAATCAAATTGAAGAAGAGAAATAATCATCCCCCCCCTAAAAAAACATGTATGTGTTGTTATTTATTCATTTTAAATATTTCAAATAGTTTACAATCTCTTTCGTATAGTCACTAAGATACAAATACTCTTAGTGATTTATTTAAACACATAAGCCTTGGTACAATGATGCACCAAACAGATATGCACCACATAAATCAGGATACTTCCTGGGTGCCCAAACAGAAGCAGTTGGTTTTCTTAGGAAGCCACAACCTAAGTCTTTGGCCTAAATGTCTAATCCACAAGGTAGTGAAGCAACATCAGGAGATGTGGTCGCATGTTAGTCGGTGATCAACAATTGGTTCCTACGCCATTTGTTCCTTCAGGATACTGGAGCTCATGTACACGATTGATTTGAAATCAGGGTTTTCAACCCCCATAGGTGGATCCTCCATATACATCAACTAGGTTAAAGCACCGAACATTCGCTTTTAGTCCTCTTAATTTCGTAAACAACACCCGTAGTGCGAGAAGGCAGTGAGTAGGACTTCCGTGGCAATAGTTGTATGCACGTGGCCATGTGAGAGCACTTCGAGAGGGAGAGCTGACTGTCCCCATTCTCGGCCGTACCACGGCATTTGGAGGCCGATAAAAATATTTACAATTATTTTAATTCCTCAAGATAATGATTACCATAATTAATAACCAGTATAATGTAAAAACTTCTAAGATCAATTTTTATCATAAATTAACACTGACTGGTGAACCAGTGGATAACAGACTCATGGAGCATTCAAACCATCTGATCTTACGATAATTACAGTACGTTTACTCAATTAAGCTTAAATCTAACTGCGGTCAAATTACGTGACTATTGTTCACCTGTCATTCGGTACAATTGTATTTTAATGACCATGGTTTCGCACTAAAACTTTAAGGATTACCATTTACTAGTAGGCACACTTAAATATACAGTTTTATAAGTGTAATCTAACTCCTCATCAATCTCATACACTAATACTTAATCTTAGAATACTATTACATCAACTGTAGTTAACATTATCCGACAGTACACCAAAAAAAGACTTGAAAATGTACAAGTGATAAGAATTCAATCAACTGTTAAATGTATATGAAATAAGACCAATCAACAAATACAATTACTATTACGTAATATACAGAAGAATAATTAGAGATTGTCAGTTTAGTGGTTGTGGAGATTGTTAAGCTTTTGATTGAAATCATGAACCGATTGATGTTAGACCATCACTGAAAACCTGGAAGCACTGGACGGTTTTTTCGTCCTACTGTGGGACTCCTCGGCAGTGCGCATCCACAATCCCGCTCGTGGAATTCGAACCCAGGGCCTTCGGTCTCGCGCGCGAACGCTTAACCTACTGTACCACTGAGCCGGCATCCAATGGTGTTAATGTCTAACCCCAACCAAGCCACGAAGTTGCGCGACCACCTTCCATTGTACTGAGGTAGACACCTGTTTCTACCCGACACGGATTAGCTCCACTGGTCACTTCTCACCAGAACTTCGAGAATTTTCTCACGAAGCTAGTCACTAGTGTGCATACGGTAATTACCAGTTTAGTGGTTGTGGAGATTGTTAAGCTTTTGATTGAAATCATGAACCGATTGATGTTAGACCACCATTGAAAATCAGGTTTTAACACTATTGGATGTCGGCTCAGTGGTCCAGTAGGGTTAAGCGTTCGCGCGCGAGACTGAAGGCCCTGAGTTCGAATCCCACGAGCAGGATTGTGGATGCGCACTCCCACTGAGGTGTCCTACAACAGAACGAAACGGCCGTCCAGTGCTTCCAAGTTTTCAATAGTGGTTCATGATTTCAATCAAAAAATTAGAGATTGGTCCAATCTTTATAGTTAATTTGTATCATGAGTAAATAATTGGTTTTTTGTGTTTACTAGATTGAATAATTGAACGTGTGAAGTATATGAACAAAGAAAATTCAACTATTTTTCTATGACTACTATCAATGATAACATTTATTTAAATATAAGTGAAATAAAATGATATAATGATTTGAATTACTATGGGGCTAATAGTTGAGAGTTGGTTGCTATAACCGTTAAGTCATTCACTTTGACCATCCAAGTGTATATATAAGTGGTGGCTAGGAGTAGAATCAAAGATGTCAGTTTCATCCTATTTCAGCCAGAGATGATGTCCAACCCGGGACTCAAAACCAACACCTTTTGCTTCAAGCTTGTGTTATCCACTTAACTACTGAGTTCGGATAGCTATTGGCTTGTGAAATGAGGTGAAGCTTAATTCGTTTGTATTCGTTATTTGAATCTTTCCGAACAGTACTGAGTTCGAATCCCGGAGTGAACATCAACTCTGGGATACAGGTACATCCAATAGAACAGTTCTGGATTCTACTGCTAGCCACTATTCGTCTCTACTTAAAAATGCTCAACTTAGCGTCAATATCGTAGGAATCTGTACAGGATGTGCATATGCCGAAAGACTGAGATCAATCACAGTCCTGGATATCGATAGGAAGATTCTGTAGTGACCTACTTTTATCAAGGGAACGCGATTGGTTTAATGAAAACAATTATTATTATAACCAATTGTACCAGGGATTGTTTTACGGTACTTGTTTGTTTAACTGTACCAAAACACATACATTCTTCCTTCGATTGTGACCTTGCACGGATTCAATCACGCTCAGTAACCACACTTGTACTCCTTCGGCACGATCTCGGTATTCTTTCGATACCACGAGATCGCCAACAAATATATCTCGACTACAGCCATCAACTGCCTTCTGATATTTGACCTACGGGGAATCTTATCGGTTAACTGGCACGTAGTCTTCCTGTAGTGGTGATCACAGTCAACCACGACCCGACGCCACGCTACAATTCAAATAACCAATGCAAATAAAGTATTAGGTGTATAGTTCACCGCCAATCTACAAACTAATAGATAAATCTTCATCACTCTCTTGTCTTATAGACCAAAAATCAATAAACGAAGGGATAATATTATTTATTATTTGGTCAAAACCATATATAAAAGGAGAACAAAGAAAACGAAAACCCCATTACAATAATCCAAATCACAGATGATCAGGCAAATTGAATAACAAAGTCAATCGATACACACACACACATAACATCGAATAGACTAAAGAAGATGATGATGATGAAATGATCAATTTAACTAATTTCGTATTTTTCCGTATGAAAATTGGATTCATATGAAAAGTTGATCGGGGTGTCCTGATTGCTTACAGTAGCTTCTATTATCTAAAAATAAATAAAAATACAATAACATACAACGATATAATGTAACCAACTTTCTTTAACAAGACAGAATATGGTATACTAAAAGTGAAACAGTAACTTGGTAGCTGAAGTGTTCCACTTTTATGTCACCGTTTTAAACTCTGATATCATCAACTTTGATTTTAACAAACAGGCTATATTATTAGTCTTCATACTTAAAATGTATAATCCTACGCCGAGTACATAAACTTTACAACTGGATGATAAATAATGAGTAATATTAGTAATTCAGAAAATATCCTGCCATAAAATAGAAAAGATGGATAGTGGCTAGCAGTGGAATCCAGGACGGACGTGTCGTCTGATTTAGGACTCGTGAGCAGCTGGATGGCGTTTGGAGCGAATGGTACTGGGTTTGAGTCCCAGAGTGAACATCAACTCGGTGAAGCAAACACACCCAGCTAACGAGTTCCAAATAAGATGAAACGCGCGTCTTGGATTTTACTACTAGCCACCACCCATCTTTGCTTAAAATGCTTGTGACTTAAGACAATATCGAGGCAATCCACACAGAACGTACATATGCCAATAAGAGACTGATCAATTGCAGTCCTAAACATCAATGGGAAGATACAAATAATACAAAATGAATATAAACTGGCAGATCAAAAGGACAATTTGCAAGGAAGATAATGAGTCCGTTTTCAGGTCATTTATGTTTGTATTCAAAGAAATATATAACCTATTAGCTATTCAGTAGTTACAATTCATGGGCAAAGCAAACCCATACTGTTCACGACATGAAGTAAAATGTTTCCAATGGGGAAACAGCAGTAGTCATTCCAATACATTTATACAATTTACTTACTACCCTAATCATTATTAGCTAAATGCCCTGGTGTGACCGAGGGCAAGAAGAGTTCACACTCCCTCCGCAAATGTGTGTATAGCCACTAGCACGGAAGTATTACTAACTACCTTCTCGTACCCGGTGTTATTTATCAAAGCAAGAGGACGAAAGCCGAATGCCCAACGAGGGCTTAAACCCGGTTCCTTCACTGTCTTGTAGAGTAGACCTCTGGGTCAAAGGCTCAGGGGGTGGGCCTCTTAGAAGACCACTTACTTCGGTTTGGACACCCGGGAAATATTCCAGTCGACACAATAATTTATTGATTTTTGTAGCGCATATATATTTTAGTCCCCCTTTGTACTAATGTTTATAATAATATCTTTACATCACTACACATATAATTAATAATTTGCGTAGACAACTTGGGGTCAATAAAATTTTAGTCGTACGATAATTATATTCCCAAACCAAAGCTAACTAAATAACTTCTAACACTTTCCGTCAGTCAGTCGCAACGTGGAACTTGGTACGTGTGTATATCAGTCCAAGTTGCCATCAACCATTAACACAACGAAATGGAAATGTTAGGCCAAATCCCAGAAAAATATAGGTAGTAGCAATATAAGTGATAAAAGGAGAGATTAGGCATCGAGGACACAATTTGAAAAAAATATAATTTACTGGGATAACAAAAGTTAGGAGTAATTTAGGGGATACCAAAGAATGGATACCCGTGCACCACTGCAAACGATTTTGGGCCTATAATACCACTGGTTACGATAATCACTCAGACCCCAAACTGGTGGTCTGCACTTATTATAACATGCTTCAATCCAATTGTCAATGACTTCATGAGCTGATACTATGATATAGTTTGATCCCTCTTAGATCATACAACACACATGTAAATATATATTACCTGAATTCCACAGTATGATTTATTTGATCCAAAGTTTAATTTCAACGGGAAAAATTGTTCTGCTTGTGCACCACGTTCTGTTTTTAATGTGAACTCGAGGGAACCAGATGAATTATCACTGTTAACTATGGGTATACGCCAGTCTAATTGAGTTTTACGTGGACTCAATTCATATTCCCCATCACAATTACCAATTAACGGAGGTTTAGCTGAAGAACTTCAATAATAAAATAAATACAAACGAACGTTATATGAAGTCAAGTAAACAAATAAGGCGAGTAATACAGTGAAATGAAAAGTAAATTGTTGTCTATGTACTTTGTAATCAGTTGAATTACAACTCATGGAAAAGAATAAACTACATAGAAGACGGTACAAATGTTTGTCGGTTCAGACTTCTACATATTTTACAATAACACAGCTCTAAGTAAACCAAACAGTTAATCAATCATCTACAACGCAGGAACAGCCACATATATGCATCAGTTCAAGTTGACACACCTCAGGAGGACAAAGAGTGTATACTAGTGCGGCATTGTGATCGACTCTGAGCCATATCACTCAGTTTCCAACCATTGGTTACGGTAATCACACGGACCACAACCAAGTAGTCTGCACCTACCAATATGACTTTAAGGACTGATGTCACGTTTTAATTTGGCCGCCCATAAATATCTTCCAACCGTCTCTAACACTAGTCAGCATTGCACGTCGTTGTAATCGGTGCTCAAGCATAAATAACACGTGACCCAACCATCTCAGTCGATGAAGATTTACAACCTCATCAACTGATTTACCATCATTCCCTAATACATTGAGTCTAACCTCGCTATTACTTACCCGATGATCCCAGCAGACACGATCAATATTACTAAGTCGGTGATCAAATACTCGTATTTGCAAGTATCTTCTACTGTTAATGGCCACATTTCGTAGCCGTTAAGTAAAACAGGATGAATTAACAACAAGACAAGTAGGGAAACAAAGATAATATTAATGTCGGTAGGAGTTCAAATTAAAATTAATGAATGGAGAACACGAAATAATAGTATGGTTAAAAATACAAAGGACAAATGTACATAAAGCACTGTGTCTGACTTAAAATCATGTCATCAAACAGATTACAGTTATTGCATAGATGTGCAATATGCAATTATAAAGCCTTTTGGATCCTTCAAAGCCCTCGATAAACTATCCCTATATCTTAGTTTGGCATTATTTCAATCTATTATTTACGCTAACCAGAACAGCACATCAAAGTAATCGGTGATTAGGCGTATGGAACAGAGACAATTATTCATAACTAGTGTGAAGCCAGGTACGATTGTGTATTGGAACAAGCTGTCACAGTGCACATCAACACAACAAGATAAACAGCAAAGAAGTCAAAATAATCGTAACAGTAATAACAATTACGGAGGCCAAATATTAAGAATATGGTTCAAGAAGATAGAATGAAAAGGTATGATTTAATAAACGCTGGATCTTAAAATATAAAGGACGATAAAGTAATGAGTGTGTCTGAACTACTGTGACCGATTCTGAGCTATGTCACTCAATGTCTGCAGCCACTAGTCATGATAATTGCGCGGAGCTCAACCAGATGGTCTCCATTTAACAACATGGTTCAGTCAAACAGTCAATGACTATGTGGACTGATATTACTTCTCAGTTTCAGCTCTCCTACTTTTCTTCTAAACTACTACATTAGCTAACAATGCAAGTCGAAATATACTGTGGTACGCGATACGTAACACACACCCGAACCATTCTAGATGAGGAAGATTCACCGCTTCAAAAGACAACTATTACTATGGTTTTAACATTCGTACTGATAACTTTCTTGTTCCACTGTAAATGAGTAATGCTTCAAAGACAATTATCGTCAACTACAACTGGAATTCTCCATTAAACGCCAAACTTCATATTCGTGGAGAAATAAACGACAATATACTGAGCAGTAAACTTGCTTTGATACCAGCAGACAGAAATCACATCCACACCAAACGTAAAATAATTTAGTAAATGCAAATAGTACTGTTCCTTGTATTTGTTTCAAGATTGAGTCAGTTGTCAATTCAATAAGTTTAATGAGACATTCATAAAATTAGTGAAATGATTAACAAGATCAACAATCTCACCACACATACTTTAAAACTGGAAAAACATACAGATCAGTTCATAACACAGCATTTCATGTTCACGTATGCGGAGCATATTTCAAGGAAATAATTTTATTCCATTATTAACTGGATCAATAATCAACTGATAAACTTGATAGACTTGACTGATCAAATTATGCAATACGGTTTATTAGAACAAGAACGTCTTTACCAAAGATGTGTTTAGTGGTCCATAAAGCTAACTTACGGCAATGGGATTGACATAACTAAATTCTCCAGTTCTAATACAGAATCTTGTAGTTCATATTCAACATTTACTTCAAAGCCACCGGGTATTTCATTTGGCCAACAATTAACTAGAATGAAGACAGTAAAAAAATCCTAAGTACGAATACAGTTACAGTGTACAATGCAATTCTTTGTGAAAAAAAACACAACAGACGCTTTTGAGATGGTGGAGAAGATTTGTAGCTCAGGTGGATGATTTTGACGGAGTTTTGTTTTCTGAGCTGGATGGTTTGGTCGACCAAACCATCCAGCTCAGAGAACAAAACTCCACCAACAACAGACGCTGTCTATATCCCAAAACTGAAATAGGCAGAGCAATGGTTTAATTCTTAAAATATTCGGTTTTCAAACAGCTCTAAACCTTACTCCACCTGCTATGATTTAAGTTACCGGGAGATATCACCAGTCTCCTAAATACACGTGTCCAAAGCTGAGTGTACACGAATCTATAATTTGTATGGAATTTATTATCACTGTCATTTATTAGGTGGAGAAAAGTTTGAATATGTTCAACATAATTTTAGAATTTGATAAGACTTATTTATGTACTAAGGTTTAAGTCGTACCCGATTAACCAAACCAAAGAAGACAGAACGATATTTAGACATACTGAAACCCTAACTGATTTTAAAACCAAACACTACTGGGCTCTTCACTTACACAAGTTTATAAAAGTGTTCCGACGAAGATTTACGGTTGTATAATTTGAAACACTGACTTATAAAACAATAGATAATGATTCAGTTTCCGACAAACTGATTTTATATCATATTACCTACGATCTTAAAATATAGATGATGAACTGCTAGGGGACCTTAAGTCAGGAAGTCTGTATTTGAATGTGGTCCATTAACCTCGTAAATATTATTTTAGAGAGATCTGTCTCACTGTGAAGTATAACTCATTTTCCCAACAATAATAATAATCAACTCCAAAACCAACACAAAGAACTTTTCTAGAAGTGGAATAATTGACTAAACAAATGGACAAGTTTAAATAGTCAGTTAGTCAGCTACAACGTAGGACCAGGCACACACATGCATCGGTCAAAGTTGTCACACCTCATTAACACAACAAGATGAACATCAAATTCATAGGACTAGTTAATTCAACGCTGGTAATATATAAAAGAAAGATTGCATATAAGGATATAGTACTGGAAGAATTCGTTCATAGAAAGAAAGATATGAAGCGATTTTAATCTCTTAGTTTCAGGGAAGACAGAGAGTGTATACGCCTACGCCATTGTGATTGATTCTGAGCCATGTCATCCAAAGTCTCCATCTATTGATTACGATAGTTACACGGATCTCAACCAAATAGTGTGCATTTCCCAATATGTCTTAAATTACAAATTAGTGACTTCAAGCACTGATGCCACGTTTTCGTTTGACCTCTCCTAACTTTCTTACAACCATCCTCAACACCGGTTAGCATTGCACGTCGTGGTAATCAGTGTTCAGACATACACAACACGTGACCCAATCATCTCAGTGGATGAAGATTCACAACCTCATTAACTGACTTACCATCCACCATTGAATAGTAAAACGGAACAACACAAGAATATTATTTGATCAATCAAAAAACAGGTCTGAATAAATCAATGTCATGTCATCTCAATCAAGGTGATTCATTAACGACATGTATGTAAATTTGTGTATATGTAAGTATACACTATTAAGGATGAAAAATGTGTGACCTTTATGGTGAGAAAGGATAGAGTTTAATTTGTAAGATAATAGAGTGAATTGTGAATAATATCTAAGCACGATAGATGGTAAGGCCTTCATTTCTATTGAGGGAGGTAGAATTAAGCATTATATGAAAAGCTTTGGCTAATCACCTTTCTTTGTAATTGGAAAAAACCCTTTTTGTAATATTTTTGAAATTGATTTGACGGTCGTTGAAAATGGCGTGAACTGCTATTGCTGATTTGTTTTTGTTGTTCCATTTTACTATTTAAACTTGGATTAATTTTGATTTGGTTATCCACTTATTCTCTGAAGAAGTGGCTTACACTAAGTCACGAAACGTCAAAAAATCTAATTTTTATATTCATTGGGATATTACAAATATATTAATTCATTTATAACACTCTACCCAATCCTCAATTTATTCGAAATTATCAAGTTAAACATTGATAATGATACCTATAAACACAAATGGACGTTTTATATGAGAGTGAGAGAGAAACCTTTGAACGAAGTCATATGCATTTTATCAGTTAGTTTATTGATCTAACAGAGTTATGGAGTAAATATACAATAGCTTACCAGTTATAGGAAGAGCAGCTTCATCGGAAGTTTGAAATCTCCATCTTAATATACCAACTTCTTGACCATTTGGAAATGGTTTACCTCCTGGTTTGATTTGAATCCAACCAGTGGACTAAACAAAAATTTGAGAATAATTCAGAGACATTATAATGAGCAAAAATTAACATCCTGAAAACGTAATCAACAATACGTAAACTTTAAGATCCCAGTGGTTATTGTAGTTCTTTTTTGTAATTCAGTTTTAATATCCACATTGGGTGGGACTTGAATCAAGCACCTTAGGTAGATCGAAATCCAGTCTAACAATATCAACAAACGAGAGCATTTAAACTCTTATTAGTAATCATATGAAAATCATACCAGTTGAACATGTTCGTGACTACCTGAACTTAGTAGGTCAGTAGATAACACGTCAGCGTTCGAAAAGATAGGTATTGGATCTGAGGCCAAATGTGTAAATATCGACACTGAGATGCACATACATTCGGCTGACGAGTCTCAAATGGAACGAAACACATGACTTATATCCCGGCGCTAGATATAATCCACTTATTTTACAAAATTTGTGAGAAAATGACTATATTGAAGTTATCCGCAAAGAATGCACATAAACCACTAAAGACTGATTGAAATTCAGTCCAACTATTAATAATGGGATAATGCAAACCTTTATTAATGATAATATACTACTCCGCTAATTTAACATTTAAAGCTAATCATTCAAATGATTAATCAAATATAAGTTTGTTGAAAATTCCCATTTAAACATTTTGTAAAATGATTCCAAACATTAGGAATTATGTAATTCAACATTAACTACATTTTACATAATATTTTATTTATTAATTTATTTAAACACATAAACATTAGTATAAGGAGGCACCAAATAGATATGCACCACATAAATCATTCGATTTGTGTGAGGGCTGTGATACTGCCCGGGTGCCCAAACCGAAACAGGTGGTTTTCTTAGGGGGCCACTCCCCGAGTCTTTGACCTTAAGGTCTGATCCACAAGTCAGTGGAGTACCGTGGGGAGATGCAGTCCCATGGTAGCCGGTGACCAACGATTGGTCCATACACCCTTTGTTCCATCAGGATCCTGGAGTCCATGTGCACCATTAGTTCGAGATCCGGTTAAAGCTCCGGACATTCGATTTCGTCCTCTCATTTTCGTAAACAACACCCCCGTGGTGTGAGAAGGCAGTGAGTATGACTTCCCTGGCAGAGGCTGTATACGCGTGGCCATGTGAGAGCATTTCGAGAGGGAGGGAGGGCCCACCCCACTCTCGGTCATACCAGGGCATTTGGGGCCTTACATAATATTTGATAAGAGAATTAAAAAACTATTTTAACGGGAAGTCAATTGTACAGTATTTATATAGAAATCATACATGACACAAAGTGAAACATATTAGATAATTCGTTGAATGGCATTTAATCAACGTTCAGCTAAAAGACAGTCCTATATCAATGACCAAAGGAGAGACAATGGATGTACAAACTTCTTTTCAGTACAAACGTTAGGTTTATGAATATAAATTCTGATAGATTCAGTCAGTCAGAAACAACGTAGAACTTCGTACGTACGTACGTACGTACGTACGTACGTATATCACTTCGAGTTGCCATACCACATTAGCACAGAGATAGTGGTAGAGGTAGTAAAATTATAAGCAGTAATCCGAAAGATATTTTCCAAGGAGTATAATACAGTGAAATAAATTTGGAAAGAGTAATAAAGGGACATGAAGAATTCAGGAGATTAGAATTTGGGAGAACACAGACTGGATGCACTTGCGCCATTGCAAACGACTTTGAGCCATGTCATTCAAGGTCTCTGACCATCGGTTGCGATCATCTCGTGGTCCCCAACCACGTAGTCTACACCTACCAACATGACTCAGTCCACTTGTCAGTGACTCCATGGATTTGTGCCATGTTTTGGTCTGGCCGCCTCTAGCTTTCTTCCAACCTACTCCTATACCATTGAGTATCGCACGTCGAGGCAGTCGGTGGTTGGGCATACGTCACACATGTCCCAGCCATCTCAACTGGGGAAGTTTAATCACTTCATCAATTGGTTTGCCATCCTTACCTAGTATCCGTTTCCCAACAACTGATAGCTTCAGCAATATGTTAAGTACGAACTCGTAAACCATACGGTAAATTTGATGATAGATAACTTCCAAAGCTTTATTCAGGTCAACATATGATCGTATGTCCCACCAATTCAGCTAGAACAGAAGTCTCAATCACACTAAACTGTCCATTGTTCAACCAAAAGGGATGGTACTCTGCTATACGAAGATGGACTTGCCGAATTGTACACCCTATAAAACTGGCTCCACAGGAGCAGTTAAATTAATAAACACATACGGATGTAATGAATTCAGATAACATGTTTTTATTAGTGGTTCTCATTATCAGACGAATGTAGGAAACTGCATTCAGTTTTGGCTGCAGTAAATGTTTTCTGAGCCACCTTTATAACCTTCGTATTAATACTTTCTCAGTACCGTCATTTAGAAACTGTGAATTCAAGTACACTAACTCCTATGAAGTAATTTTTGTATTCGGTCTTATGTTTATTGAATTTTTTTAGAGGCGCGATATTTGACTCCAGTTAAATCTCATAATAGTTGTTATCAAAATATACATGCCAACAATCCTCTAATACATTTTACAGCTTAATTAGCGTTAGAGAATAACGTGGTAAAATAAGTCAAATACAATAATGAAGTTTGAATACACATATTTCATACATCCATTGATCTGGACAGACAATCACGGAGACGAAGTGGAGAAAGTGAAGCGAAATGAAGTGACTCGCAGTGGAGAAGGCCAGCGAACCAACTCAATTTGATGATCAAGTGTGACTCAATATTCATATTCAGATAAAAATAAGTTACAGATACGTGTTGAATATGGCAAGCAATCAACATCCATATGATCATATGAAAACAATCATGAATAATAAGTGAATAATTGACAAGCTCAAAATATGGCTTGAGAATAATGAATGCATTGTCCTGTACAGAAGCTAGAGTAAACTATTTGAGCTTAACGAAGTACCCGCCACAACAAATTCATTAGTTTATTGAGAAATTTATTCGAATATCTAAACTAAACAAAATCACAAATATTACCAACTTCACCAAAGCGTTCGTGGGCGAATCTACACACCAGTCGTAGACTTCTAACTTGTACGTTACAACCCACGGATTAATTTGCCTTTAACCTGTCTAGTTAACCTTTAATTTTCACATAAAAATGTCTTAACAAGTATATGTGTGATCAGATTGTTCGAAATGTATTTCGCTAATATATCACATAATTCTGATAAACTTTGTCTTCTCATTGCATTATCGTAAAGAATAAGTATCCTATTCCTAGATATGATTGCTTGTGATAGAGCTTTGTTCTCTGAGCTGGACAGCTTGGTCATGGAGCTTTTATTGTTATTCTGGACATCAACATAAACTTCAGGTAGAAGTGAAGTGTTCGAACTTCTCCAAATATGGCTCACCCTTGTCTTGTAGACTTCGTTTGTTGACCTTTAACCTGTTATTGTTTACTTCTTTATTTTGGTTGTATCTCTCATCGATTTAATTTTTGGTTCTATATTTGTCCATAATTTTTCTGATTGGTTAATAAATTGGATCGATTTCAATGTGTTTGTTGATTGCTGATTGACCTGAGTGCCAAGCTTCTAAAAATTCTCTGGTGTTTTTAGAATTGCTTCTATCCAAGATTTCAACATTTTCCCAGTCGAGTGTGTCCACATGCATTGATATGGCGTTCGACCGCTAATCGATGTTCATGCAGATGACGATGAAGAGGGCGTCCGCCTTATCCGATGTAGTGTTTGTCGCAGTTGAAACAATTTACTTTGTAGACGATGATCGGTTCTTCTTATTTTGTCATTTCGTCCTTTTGTTTGCATTGGATTTATCGAAGTGATTTTGTTGGTTTGTATGCGACACCTATTGTGAAGGGTTTCAACAGTCTCGTTGTAGTTCCTGATGTGCCTTTTATGTATGGTAGGGTGATCCGTTTGTTGATTTCTGTACTTGACTTTGTTTTTGATGATGCGTGCAGCCGGTATTTTTTAATGAAGTTGATTGGGTAGCCGTTCTTTTTAAAGATAACCTTCAGGTATTTTTCTTCATTTTTCCGCGCTGCAAGTGTGTTGCAATATGTCCTAGCTCTCTTGAAAAGAGTTTGTGCACAGTTGATTTTGTGGGCTCTTGGTTTTCTGCTACTGTAATTGAGAATTTGATCTGTGTGGGTCGGCTTCCGATATATTTGAGTCGCCAGTTTTCCCGTGTCACTTCTGGTGATTAATATATCCGAAAATGGTAGTTTGTTGTTCGATTTCTGTCCCATTGTGAACTAAATGTCATCGAAAACGTTGTTGATCAGATTTTAGGTGTTTTCCAGCCTGTCCTTTTTGACGATGACGAATGTGTCGTCTACATAACGAATCCAAATTTTTGGCTTCATAATTGGTAAGATCGCCGTTTCCAGTCTCTGCATCACTGCTTCTGCAATAAGTCCTGATATTGGTGATCCCATCGGTGTTCCTTTCGTTTGTTCGTAGACTTTGTCATTGAAATGAAAATATGTTAAGCATAAATCGATGAGTTCTAGTAAACCTTAACTTTAAGGCTTCGTGTACTTTGTGAGATTTGTGTCGTTGGTGAGAAGCAGGGATACAGTTCCCTTTGCTAGGCTTGGTTCAATTGAGGTGAATAAGGTTGTTACATCGAAGGATATCATCGGCTCGCCGTTGCTGAGTTGAATGTCCTTAATCCGATCCAGGAATTGCCCTGGTACAACCGAGGGTGATGGGACTCTGCTCTTCTCTGAATACTCTCACATCCCCACCCATATACAGCTACCTCCAGGGAAGTTTTACTGACTGCCTTTTCATACCCGAAGTTTTTTTATCAAATTGAGAGGACAAAGGCAAATTTCCGACGAAGGTTTAAAACCAGTTGATGGGTACGGAGAATTCATCTAGGGGAGTTGGAAAACCCCTATTATAGACCAGTGGTGCACATGGGCTGACTGAATAAATGGCGTATGAGCCTACTGTTCGTCACAGGTTACCATTAGACCGCATCTCCTGACGTTGCTCCATTACTTTATGGATTAGACCTCTAAGTCAAAGGCTCGGTGAATGGGTTTCTTAGGAAATCACCTGCTTCTGTTCGCGCAACCGAGCAATATTCCGGTCCATACACTAACTCAGAGATTTTTGTGTTGAATAAATATTTTGGTCCCTTTGTACCAATATTTACGCGTTTAAATAAATAAATATACGGCATAAATCACGTTTATAATACAAGCTGTAGAATATAGAACCCCATCAGATCACTTTTTACTTGTAAATATGATTAAAACAATTTAACTAGACTAGTCGAAACAATGAATCACAGTATGAATATGTAGGAAAGCACACCCATAATTACAAATGAAAAAGGAACAGATATAGTGCTATTTAACGTGTTTATGTTTCATAAATCTTTTATGGAATCACTTGACAGGAAATGTTAAACTAGTCAACGACTCCCTATTAGCCAGTATGAAGAATTTAAACACATGGATATCAAATTATTGGTCCCATGATGAGGTGCTAACTGTAGGACATTGCAGTTCTTGGGTTAATCAAATTTAGTCTGGAAGCCTCTAACACATTAGAGAGTGGATGACTTTCAAAACTGATGTTTTCCAACCATTTATGATATTTAACCACGTTTGTTCTGTGCCAATATTTCGTAGATAAGCTATTTTATCATACAGAATAGCTATACTACAAAGCAACTGTCTTGTCTTCACTTGGGTCTTACTTCAATAATTCGATCTCGTGAGCAGTTGTCATTTGGGTACATAGTATCGTTGCATAACTTCTAGCAATCGGCATTATATTCATTCACCGTAACAATTCAAAACTCACTTACTTGTCAAATCCAAACTTACAACAGAATGTAATGATGAAACCTCTAGGTTGATGGACTAAAGTGAGTGACCACCATCGATAGTCTACAATCGTGTACTTCAAATCAATCAACAACTGAATGGTTTCTGTGAAAAAAATATGTTTACCATCCCATGCAAAGTAAATCCATATCTTCAAGCATAATTTACCATAGTATCAAGTCGTTTACATTGAAATACGATTTGAGTATTATAAAGAAAGAAGAACTCACCATGAAAGTTTTCTTATCAATATTAGGATGTGTTTGAAGTTGAACAGGTGGCCGATGTTCATTGGGCGGATTTGTACACATACTTGTATCCACTCGGATTTTCGCTTCACAAGCTTCATTTGTGATAGCTTGTGCAAACATTGTACCTTGCAACTCCATACTTTCTAAACCACCATCACGACCAGCTTGAACGATTAACTTCTCCTCAATTCGTAAATGCAGACTAAAAAAACAATGTGTAGGAAAAAAACACATCGATTACTTGCTACTGAAATGTACAAACTTATGGTTGAAAAAATGACTTTCAAAATGCAAATAAAAAATATTAAGCCATACTACTACTGAAACGATTCAGCTTCGCTATGGACCTATAATATAAGGATTGTAGACAATAGACGATTACTTAGTGGTAGGTATTGAACAAAAATTCATGCTTCTTCACAGTTAAGGCTGATACATAAGCCAAGAATTTTAGGAATCATAGTTGTGACAATCAAGTGAAGCTTTACGCAGGAATTCTCTTGTAATGTATCATAATGCTTACAGTAAAATGTTTTAGGATACAACTAAAACTAATCGTGAATTACTATTTTGTCATCTATTTGTATCCCACATCTAACAGCTCCGATATCTACAAGTGCATAATTATTTCATTGAGTACCTAGTTGTTGCCACAGATATTCGAGAAAAAAAGATCAAACCAAGACGTAGCATCAATTAATGAAGTCATTGACAGTTGGTCTGTGTGGTATTGGATGATGTTAACTGTTTGGTTGATATTACTTAAATGTCCATAATCTATAAATGAAGAAACTGGATAGCATGTTTCAAATTCGGTAGTAGTAATTTGCATTTTGTTCTAATCTTATCCTAAATCTAGAGTATAACATAGTTCTGTACTCTATGTTTTACGATTTTTTTGCTTCCCAAATGTCCACCACTATTATTACAAGATATCTAATTAGTCTTCTTAAAGTGTACCGGTTTAAGGTGAGATAAGTTAGAATGGTGTACTTTTGTTCCAGGTCCTCTATGCTTTATAGAGGAATGAATATGCTTAAATGCCAGCTTGATTGTACTTGTAAGATATTAATACTTTTAAACTAATGCGTGCAGAAAATGGATATAAATCAATGTTTACTTTTCTTTGAACCATTAACATGTTTATTCGACAGAATAAATCTTTTTAGACTCGAAAGCACACGACTTACTTTTCTTTTTTAACATGAGATTTTTGAGTTGAAGCAGAAGTTGGATTAGTACTCGTTACTTTATCTGCTCCGTCTGATCCGCTAACTAAATTCATAACATCTTCATTGACCACTTCACCTTCGGCTTTTAGACGATTCACAAACTGATCAATGCTTTTTAAACCACCCTGGCCACCACCAAGTTGCATACCACTTCGTTTCACTGATGCTAAGATAGTTGCTGAATTTGTAGTAGGCAAACTTTGAACATCCGTATTCCCATCTCCCAAACGATCTTTCATGACGATTACACGAGGTTCATCTGTTGATAACACGGTAGGAACATACACATGGAAATCAGCCATGAGAACGGTTTTCCTATTTTGAAAACTTCACAGTTGAATTTAATAATTCGACAAGCCTCACAAACAGGTAAATGGTGTACTATATTACATTAAAAAATTTTAGCAAAACGAAAATATGTGACAAAACCTAACATAGCTTTAAATGCTTATATAACATAGCCCCGAAATGCCCTGATATGGTCGAGGGTGAGGAGAGTCAGCTCTCCCTCTCTAAATGCTCTCACATAGACACGCGTATACAAGCACGGTCACGCAAGTCCCACTCACTGCCTTCTAGAACTACAGGTGTTGTTTACGAAATCGAGAGGACGAAAAGTGAATGTTTGGTGCTTTAACTGGGTTAGTAGATATGGAGGATCCACCTAAGGGAGTTGGAAAATCTTGATTGCAAACCAATGGTGCACATGAGCTCCAGGATCCTGAGGGAACAAATGATGTATGAACCCATTGTTGGCCACCGACTACCATGTGACTGCATCTACTAACGCTGCTCCACTGACTTGTGGATTAGACCGCCAGGTCAAAGGCTTCAGGTGTGATCCCCACGTAAACCAACTGCTTCGGTTTGAGCACCCGGGCAGTATGACAGCCCTCACACACATCAGTGATAACTGTCACTGACCTCATTGTTATTGTGTATTTGGTGCCCACTTGTACCAATGTTTATATGTTCAAATAAATAAATAAAATAATAAAACGCAAAATTCGAAACACCTCATGACACCTTAGCGCTTACGAGAATTTCTCTAATCTAACCCGTTCAGTCGTATTATGATAAATACTCGGCCTAAAAGTATTCAACCGGCACATTAAATGCTTAAAGAGTTTACTAGCTGCTTTCCTTCATATCAAAAATGTGCAATGACGAACTATTCTGTATATTAATGCCCAATATTAGCAATAACTGTCTTCGTTGAATAAATTAGCACTTTTAATATCATAAAACAGTGGCCACTTCGCAAATGGTAAGCTGACGAATATCAAATAAGTAACTGGTCGCAATTTTGGGATAGTAGATTTTACAAGCTTATAATATCTTGCATGCAAATTCTGCAGTTAAGTGTAAATATTCTCATCAAATCTTGCATTCTACTTAACTACCAATTTGTAACACACATAAAGTACGGTGCAGTAAGAAGTTAGGGCAGTACCCAGCTTCAAATCAATACTCAGCAGGTTCAAACCCCGCACCATGTAATCTGGTTTGAGCACCTACATAATATAATAACCTCTCACAAAAAGAACTTGTAAACAAGTACACTAACTTGTACTTGTAAAGCGAGTCGCGTAAACAACACGAAAAAGATGCTACGAATAAACCACTACGGATAAACCACTTACGGAAATACAAGAAATGTGAACACCTTAAAATTTTGACATATTAGTAGACAATATTTTACTTCCATTACAATCCAAGTAAATACAGGAAAGCTTACTTAAATCATTTGACAGGCCACCCATTCCTTTCCCACCACGATAATTAGAGAATCCTGAAAGATTCATACCACCTGAGCGTTTTCCAGCTTCTAGTCGGGCTTGTTGTAGCTCACGTGCTCTCTGTTTCATTTGCTCTTTAGCATCACGTTCTTTGTTCTAAAAAGCAACACATGAAAATGAGTTCGAAAAAGATTAGAAAAATCAAAAACAAAATTACTAGCTAAAGTATGTCTCCGAATTCAACGGAGGAATGTGAACCTTAGTGACATTACCAGTACAAAAGTGAAAGAATAGACGAATTTGTGACAATGTAAAGCTCAAAAAAAGTTTTTTTTTAATAAACAGAAATATCCCCAGACGGAGTGGTTGAGAACATACCTCCTGTACAGCACGGAACACTCGTTCATCGTGTGAGTCCATTTCCGTATATGTTCGAATTTGTGACAGGTTGACATCTTCTCTATAGCCTAGAGCTATGATTTCATCAAATGCGAAAATAAGTTGGAAAGCATGTGTCAGTACATCGTTTTCATCGGTACCACAAGCATACTCCGGTATCTATATGTACAAGAAAAGAATATGTAATTAAAGAGAACATTAAAAATAGAATGGTCAGTGAGAATATTTCCTAAACGTACCACACGTGCAAAGAGCCGTAATGTCTCCAAATCTTCGAGTATATTGCTAGCTTTGGTAGTTATCAGAAGAACATACAATTTTTCCAAAGGTTGGTAAACATACCGCACAGATTCTGTTTCCACAAATGTATGTTGTTTACCTAGGAAGCAAAAAATATAAGCAATAACGGTCCTGGCGAGCTAAAAATCTGATATATCCATGATTTAGATATACAAATATCGTAGGGTTTCATAAGGGGAAGTGTCCTCAGGCTTGAAACCACGTTTCCTCAGTGCGAATACTGAGTCAACACTATATATGGGAAATAAGACAAGACGAAAAATCTATTTTCAGCTGACAACTAAAGTTTATAAATTCCACCCCAATAGCGTAACAGGTATGTTATAAAAACTTTGAGAATTTACACGTTTACATTCCCGATAAGATGAACTAATTACAAATAAGTGTTGATTCATCACCGTACACCTGGCTCATACAATCACAAATCCAGATATATCAATAAAGGAATATACTGAACAAGTGAATTATTAGCTGAGTTTTGTTAGGCAAAGCATCTCAGACGATACTTTACGTTAGTTTTCTGTTTCAAAGAAAAGCGATTAGGCCAAGTCAGATTAGTACGCCAACTAGAATCGTAAGTCGTGTTCTGCAAAAACCTTTCGTAAAAATACGTAAATCACTTAATAGATGATTTTAAGTCAAGCATTTTCAATCACTGAACAACAACACACTTAACTGTGTACGTAGATAATTGCATTTAATAACTGACTGACAATATTCGTATAACAACCAGAAAACGGTTAAATTATATGACATAAGTCTAACTGAGCACACTTGGAGCTGAAATAAAGCAATCACCTTAAATTTATTGAATACAACATAAAAACAAGAACTGTGAGTCTTCGAGAAAAAAAGAAGTGAAAACTAACCTGTCCCAAGAAGCTTTGGAAATGTTGCTATTAATCCTTCGATTCTTGCCTTTGTCATTTCCACAAACTGTCGAGACACCAGAGCTAAATAGATTAAATGCAAATTCACACTATGAGCATACCTTTACCATCACGAGTACACACAGATGCAGCCAACAGAACCTTAATTTTTGGATGCTAAATAAAAGACAACTCACCATCGCGCCAACCTGTCAAGTTTACAATTAGCCGCTTCGCACCTCCAATATCCAATCTACATTCTTTGGAAACTTTCAAATGGTTCAAATGATTGTGAACAGAATAAAAGAAGCTTTCGCTTAGCGGGCTTCCGTGCCTAGTGGCAGTGGATCACCAATACCTCCAGGTAGGAACCCAGGTATCTAGTCATAAGAATATAAGTAACGAATTCGAAATCCTACTCCAATAACTTCTGAGCTTGGTGGATAAACCGCCTTAACTTCATGTCTTTGTAATTTTAAGTTATTATTGATTGCTTTGATTGTTAAAGAAACATGCGTGCTATATCATTACTGAGTCTACGGACTACTCTTTTACATGCTTTTCTTTCCTTTAGATTCTTTCGCATTAATTGATCTTGGGACTAGTACTGTACGTACCCTTAGGCTATGCTCGAACACCGACATGTTCGGATTTTATCGGCAAACCTGATCTATGGAGATTATAGTAGTCTTGTAAAGTAGCACATAACAGTAAGCCAAATGACCGAACGGTTCAACAGTTTTTCAACAGGATGAATGAAACTTTCGCCTAACTAGCTCGTTTCTGATACCGATGGCTTCAGACAGGGAGTAAGGCAGTTGAAACAAGCAGGCAAAAAGAATGATTGGTAAGTTATAAAAGGATGTTGACTCTGAGTCTTTTGGAATAAATAGAGGTTTCAGTTAAAAAGCTTGATGGAATTTGTTGTGGGCTTTGAAGACTTGACTACATATAAAAAGCAGAATGCGTGCAGTGGCATGAGCCACTAACACGGGAGAATATAGTGAAATAGATATTCGACATTTAACGGGGAGAAAAACCCAACGATGAGAAGACGTGAACGATAAATATGATTAATAAGAATTAATCGGGTGGCATGCCTCAGCCTCGTAAGCATGGTCGCTTTCTACAACTTACTTTTACTCATACTAAATACATTGTTCTATCTATAGTCTAAATGTGTTCTTCATCATATATTGGTGATTGTTACGACGCGATGAGTTGGTGTAGATAATGATGTGACTTCCATGTAAGAGCTGATAGACTAGACAGTTACACCATGACAAATCTACAATTTTAAGATTAAGTCTATTATTAGAGCGGTATCAATATTATAGTAGACCATATTTCTACAGGCGCTCCTATAATCGACTGTGTTGTGCTGTACTATTACTTTTATATAGGTTTGTGTTCGGATTGAACTCGGGAAATTGTTTAAAATCAGTCACAGGTACAGTTATGATGCTCTAGATCATTACGATTTCACCTCTTAAAACCCTATATTCTATAAGGTGTAGAATCACTTATTTTGTACTTTTCCCATGGTGTGATCTTTTGGCCATGAGCTGATTTTTTACCTCGTCTTTAAACACTAAGATATTCTAGTCTTAATGGAAAGGATAAAATACTATGTTCCTCAACGGTTTGTAGGGTTGAACAAACCGATAAAAAGTGTGTTCGATGGGTAGCTTAATCCCGAATGGAATACGCAATCATAGTAATGGGCTGAAATAAGTCAATTCAACACTTTGAGTAAACGGCCCGATATTACAAAATAATTCCATATTTTTGACGAACCCCGTTATATCAGAAGATGTTTGTGGAGATTTTAGAAATTTCACAGATTGAAATCATGAGTCATTTGAAGCTGGATCACCATGGAAGACCTGGAAGCATTGAGAGCCGTTTCGTCCTAGTATGGGACTCCTCAGCAGTGCGCATCCACGATCATACACCCCCGGGATTCGAACCCAGGACCTACTTGTTTCGCGCGCGAGCACTTAACCATTAGACCACTGAGCCGGCATCCAATGGTGTTATTGTCTAACTTCAACCAAACCACGAAGTTGCGTCACCGTATACCATTGTCTTCAGTGAGCTGATATATCACAACAGACTTGGTTGAACTCCACTGATAACGGCTTTTACAAACCCCTTCTGTTAATAATCATCTGCTCATTAGTGATTGACTTCAAGAGATACTCCTGGAGTTCTAGTGGGAAGCCGTTACCAGTGGAGTTCAACCAGGTCTGTTGTGAGATATCAGCTCACTGAAGACGACCGAAAAATTTTCAGCTTCTTAAATAACGCTACAATATGGGTGAAGTTAAGACTACATGGAACACTTTTGGTCAAATGACTACACTTTAGGTACGAACTCTCTTAAGGTTCAGAGTGCGTTTTAAAAGATTTTCCTTCCTTATCATAATTTACGGGGAATATCTAATTGTCACAGAATCTTATCTTTAAATATAGAGCTTTCAGTTGCATGTTTCTAAGGCATACTGAGTGATCAAATACATATGTCCCAGGGTTGATAAGAAACTTATTTATGCTTCTTTGGTCTTTAAACTTTTAGTGCAATTTGATATTAATTTTTGCGTACGTTTGTCAACATCTGTGGTAACATATTCGGTTACTAAAATTAGAAGTTCCATAAGGGGCCAGTGAGATTCACTTGAGCTATGAAAAGGTATAATGAAGACAGAAAGTAGGGAGAAGCCGAACGATCACAAAGTGGGCCTGTCCAAACATCATAATGTGAATGTCAGAACCTACGGGACTCAAAAATCTTAAGTCCTTTGTTATATTCTTTTTCCAGCAGTCACCATAGAAAGCTATCTAACAAAATCAAATAGGGTGAGTCTTTAGAATTATGGTCTAAGTTCATTATCAGTACTGCTAGTATGATAGAAAAATCTATAAAATCTTACGTGAAAGTCACACCATTATCTACACCAACTCATCACGTCGTAACAATCACCAATATATGATGAAGAACACATTTAGACTATAGATAGAACAATGTATTTAGTATGAGTAAAAGTAAGTTGTAGAAAGCGACCATGCTTACGAGGCTGAGGCATGCCACCCGATTAATTCTTATTAATCATATTTATCGTTCACGTCTTCTCATCGTTGGGTTTTTCTCCCCGTTGAATGTTGAATATCTATTTTTCCAATTGTCCGGCATTCAGCTTTGAGGATTAAGTGATTAAGACACAGTGCAAATACAATGTCATGTGGCAGTCTGTTCGTTATTTATCTTGGCTCGTCTCATCGAAAGAATCAAGGATATGACGTCTGAAGCTTTTGAAGAACCCATTTCGGCTTTGAGGATTGTGCGGTTTGGACCAAGAAGGCGTTTTAGTGTATGTACTTCGTTAAGCCCAAATAGTTTACTCTAGCTTCTGGACAGCACAGTGTATTCATTATTCTCAAGCCATATTTTGAGCTTGTCAATTATTCATTTATTAATCATGACTGTTTTCATATGATCATATGGATGTTGATTGCTTGCCCTATTCATGATCTTTCAAAAGAACGACTAACCAATCGACTTCACTAAAAAATACCAGCTGCACGCATTATCAAAAACAAAGTCAAGTACAGAAATCAACAAACAGACCACCCTACCATACATAAAAGCCACATCAGAAACTACAACGAGACTGCTGAAACCCTTCACAATAGGTGTCGCATACAAACCAACAAAATCACTTCGATAAATCCAATGTAAACAAAAGGATGAAACGACAAAATAAGAAAAACCGAACATCGTCTACAAAATAAATTGTTTCAACTGCGACAAACTACATCGGATAAGGCGGACGCCCCCTTCATCTTCATCTGCATGAACATCGGTTAGCGGTCGGATGCTATGACACATCCTCTCTTATATCAATGCATGTGGACACATTCGACTGGGAAAATGTTGAAATCTTGGATAGAAGCAATTCTAAAAACACCAGAGAATTCTTAGAAGCTTGGCACTCAAGCCAATCAGCAATCAACAAACACATTGGAATCGATCCAATTTATCAACCAATCAGAAAAATTGTGGACAAATATACGACCAACAATTAAATCGATGAGAGATACAACCAAAATAAAGAAGTAAACAATAACAGGTTAAAGGTCAACAAACGAAGTCTACAAGACAAGGGTGGGCCATATTTGGAGAAGTTCGAACACTTCACTTCTACCTGAAGTTTATGTTGATGTCCAGAATAACAATAAAAGCTCCATGACCAAGCTGTCCAGCTCAGAGAACAAAGCTCTATCACAAGCAATCATATCTAGGAATAGGATACTTATTCTTTACGATAATTCAATGAGAAGACAAAGTTTATCAGAATTATGTGATATATTAGCGAAATACATTTCAAACAATCTGATCACACATATACTTGTTAAGACATTTTTATATGAAAATTAAAGGTTAACTAGACAGGTTAAAGGCAAATTAATCCGTGGGTTGTAACGTACAAGTTAGAAGTCTACGACTGGTGTGTAAATTCGCCCACGAACGCTTTGGTGAAGTTGGTAATATTTGTGATTTTGTTTAGTTTAGATATTCGAATAAATTTCTCAATAAACTAATGAATTTGTTGTGGCGGGTACTTCGTTAAGCTCAAATAGTTTACTCTAGCTTCTGTACAGGACAATGCATTCATTATTCTCAAGCCATATTTTGAGCTTGTCAATTATTCACTTATTATTCATGATTGTTTTCATATGATCATATGGATGTTGATTGCTTGCCATATTCAACACGTATCTGTAACTTATTTTTATCTGAATATGAATATTGAGTCACACTTGATCATCAAATTGAGTTGGTTCGCTGGCCTTCTCCACTGCGAGTCACTTCATTTCGCTTCACTTTCTCCACTTCGTCTCCGTGATTGTCTGTCCAGATCAATGGATGTATGAAATATGTGTATTCAAACTTCATTATTGTATTTGACTTATTTTACCACGTTATTCTCTAACGCTAATTAAGCTGTAAAATGTATTAGAGGATTGTTGGCATGTATATTTTGATAACAACTATTATGAGATTTAACTGGAGTCAAATATCGCGCCTCTAAAAAAATTCAATAAACATAAGACCGAATAC